CTTCAACTTCCAAATTAATTAGACCTTTCTTAAAAAATCGACTACCTTCCAAAAAACTCAAATCTACCTTAACTTTTACAAATGTTTTTCCAGAACCCTATTCTTCTGTTGCAACGATGCAATAAACAATTAAGTTTTGGTAAAATTACTTCAATCCTCAGTAGAGGAGGAACAGATGATTGTAGTAAGAAAATTACTTAGATCCTTTAAAACTGCCTTACTTGAAACGAGTACAAAACCTTGAATGTCGCTTAAACAAACTAAAAGCGCAACCAAGTCTTGAAAACCGTCCAGCAACTCATGAAAAATAGATCTGTGGCTATCTGATTCACTTCTCATTATAGAACTGGGGAACTTCGCGTCCAAACCAATCCAAATTGGATTCGAACAAGAAAAGGAAATGAAATGAAATAGAATGAAAAAAAAAAATAAAATAAAATAATAAAAACGATAGAAATAGCGCGGAATATAAACCGAGTGCTGCGAAATGTTACTGTTGCGATAGGCTAAATCCTGCGGTAAACAGCACATAACTGTACAGTTGAGGTTTATAAAAATTGATTCAGCAGTAAACTTTAAGCAACACTGAAAGTTAACCAAATTGCCCACCACCGGAAAGCTTCAGTGAGACCTGTGTCACTGTAATGGTAAATGTTAGGTTGTAAAAAGTTTTGCTTTAAATTGACGAAGTAAACATTTCTATTTTCCCCAACAATCGATAGTACAACGCTATAAATGAAAGGAACAGTAATAATTACAAACAACAGATTTCGCCGAAACAGAATAAAACTATTTGATGATTATACAACGTTCAAAATTCTTCACTGAAAGTAAAAACTAACAAGAGAGAAGGTCGACGAAGAATGAAAAAGGGCTAAAAACTAAAAATCGATGGCACAGTTGAAAAGTAACAGGGAACTGTTATTCTGGTTGTCGCAGACTTGTTTGCTATACGAGTGAATGGGTACATTTAACGGCTCAAAAAACATTTTCGATAATTACTCAGCGATAGCTACTCACAATACGGACCCGGCCTGCCATAGTTGCTTTCCAGAAACAAACAATAGAATTCCAACTGGGTTCTTCAGTCTGAATCGAGTTGTCAGAAAAGAAGAAGAAAAAAAAAGCAATAATGCCAATATCCATGCATAATGTTTATTCAAATGCAACAGTCATTAAGATGGAAAAAATTTACTAAAGCGCTCAATGAATTGCACCTTCAAAGACAGTAAATCAAACGCTACTCTGCTAATCTGATTTCAAAGTAGTCCCCTCTTTCCCCTTCCCCCCTCCCCCTTCGCCTTCTAAACTGTATCAGTAAATTAAATAAACGAAAATAAAAAAAGAAATGAACAACCTGTACCATAAGACTTCAGTGCGTAAATGTCATACAGATTTTAACAGTTAATAAACTATCTAAATTAGGAACGAACTCCAAAGAGTATCGTCGACAGCAAAAAAAAAAGTTGCAAACGAACACCTATGCAGGAACCATATGTGTCAATTTTTATCACAATGACCGTGTGACAAATGTGTCAAAAATCACAGTTAAAACCTTGCAAATTTTCCTTTAAAATCCATTTAGAATTTGCGCGTTACAAAAAAAGCTATTTTTCGCAACAGCAACAGAAAAAGGAAAAAAAATTCTGAAATTATTTCCTTACTGTAAATTCGGCGGGGAACACATTCATCCAACTTGTTCAGCGTTCACTTTTTACTTCCATACCCTTTCACTGATAATCGCCAAAAAGCTGCTTCAATATATCTGTTGAAATATTAAAATAAAAGTAAGAAAATAATTTTAAAGAAAACTTCTTATCTTCTGGGGACGGGATGCAACATAATTTTCTATTACTCGACTCAATACGACTATTTGAATTTCGCGCCAAGCCGAAAAGAAAATTGAGATTTAATCTACCTCTAAACTATTGTCACACTTCAGGTGGCATATATATATATATATATATATATATATATATATAT